TTCCCTCTGCCTGGAAAGCTGCTCCCCAGCTCCCCGTGCGGCTTACTTCTCCAGCTCCTTCCATCTTGGCTCACATGTCCTATTCTCAGCGGCCTTTCTGACCTCTTTATTTAAAACGACAGCCTTCTCCTCACGCCCTAAAACCCCTTCCTGCTTTAGGTTTCATCCACAGCCGTGACGACTCACATTCACATTCTAGAATGGATTTCTTCCTTTACTGTGGGTCTCTGGCTAGAATGGGCGCTCCAGGGGGGAGCTGGGCTGGGGGTCTGGGGTCTGGGACCAGGGGTGACCTGTTTTGTTCATTGCTCTCTGCCCAGGTCCCCACACAGTCCTTGGCACACAGCAGTTTTTTAATATCTATGGATTCATGGATGAAAGAAACAGACGAACGCGGGCTCTGAGGTGAAGGGCGCAGCAAGCTGGGGAAACATGGCCGATGAAGGTTAACACCCTCAGTGCAAAAAGAGCGCCCACGAGCCCAGAAGGGAGCACTAACAGCCCGAGAGAATGGAAGCCAAAGAAATAAACAAGAAGTTGGCAAAAGCAGGAACCAACTAGTGCCAGTAAACAGGAAGGGGCTGTCAGGCGCACCAGGGACCAGACATAGGAAACTCAGAGAGATGCACCTCGACTGCAATGGGCAAAGCTGCCTGGGACAGGAGGGGTGGCAGGTGCCCACCCCCTACTCACCCCCCCACCCCGGGTGACTGCTGGGGGTCGATGGTGCTTGAATATGCAGACATGATACTATCTGACCTGATGCTGGATTGTGACCTGTGGGGCCAGCTCCACTTCAGAGGTGCAGAAACTGAGGACCGGAGCTCCCAATGAGCTCTGCCGGGGTCACACAGGGAGAGGAGATGGCGGCTCCCTACACTGGGCCTGAGCTCAGCCTGTGCTGGCCCGTCTGCTCCCTGGCTCCCGACACCCTTTGGAAACAGGGCTGGGTCTCTGGGGCTGTGCAACAGCATGGCAGGCATGGGGTGGGACGCCCCAACGTGCGGGTGGATTGGGGGTTTTGAATCAGCTTCAGTTGTGTGGCCTTGAGCAAGTGTCCGTACTTCAGGGCCTCAGTTTCCTCCAGTGAACAATGGGGCAATAGGCCCTGCCACCTTGGGCTTCTGAGAATTGAGGCCACGCTGCACAAGCTGGGAACGGAGCCCGAGGGCAGAGCGAGCTCTCAGCGATGGAACCCGCCTGCAGTCACCCCACCCGCCCCCACCACGCAGGGTGGAAACTCTCAGACTGGCTCATCTGCCCCACAGCTGTGTTCCCAAGTCCTGGACGCTGACCTCTCGGGAGACGGGGTGGGTCCTCCCCACCCCTGCATGTCCCCGGGCCCGGGCTGCCAGCTGGCTCCCCGCTCGGTCACAGGGGCGGGTGGAAAAAATCCCCGGCCAGAGGCCACTCTGGCCCAGAGGCTGTGTGACCTTGGGCAGCTCTGTGGCCCTCTCTCGGCCTCCCTGCTCTTCCCGGTCGGGGCAGAGATGAGGATGGGAGGAGGGAGGTGGGAGCGGGCTGCAGAGACTGCTCCCCCCTGACTGATCATCTGAGACCCCATCAGGCCTGAGGCCTGCAGGAGTGGGGGTGGTTTTAGCTCCGTTTGGTGGATGGGTAGACTGAGGCAGGAAGAAGCAGGGCACCCAAGGCGGCCCAACTGGAGCAGAGGCAGGATGGACCGTGAGTCCGGCTGCGCCCCGCAGGGACAGAGCGCCCGTGGAGAGAAGGGGTCTGGGAAGAGAGAGGGAAAGGGGAAGGCAGGAGGGACAGCCCGAGAGACCCCAGAGGGAGGGGGATGGAAAGCAAGAAACAGACTCTGCAGGGGGTGAGCTGTGTCCCCCGGGACTCACAGGTGGCAGGTGTCAAGCCCAGCGCTCAGACAGCTCGGAGACAGCATCTCTGCAGAGGCGACCACATTACAGCGAGGTCATGAGGGTGGGCCCTGCCCAAGGTGACAGGTGTCCTTGGAAAGAGGAAGTGGTGACACCGGCACCCAGGGCAGCTGGCGAGCCTCAGGGGGAGGAGGTGGCGGCCTCAGCAGACACCAGCCCTGCCGACCTTGGTCTCGGACTCCCAGTCTCGAAACTCTGAGAGAATAAACGTTTGCTGTCTAAGCCGCCAGTGCGGGGCCGCCCGAGCAGGCCGACAGGCCTGCACCCAGAGCAGAAGACTCCAAGAGGGCCGGAGCAGTGGACCAAGGCAGGGGGGCCTGGCTGCCTGGCTGCTGTCTCAGCGGTGGGGAGCTTCAGCCTGGAGGACGTGGGGCTGGCCACCCCATCTCTTCTTCCTCCAGCCTCCTAACCTTGCAGCAGCATCCGGGGTCCTGAGCCCACCCTGCTCTGAGCCTGTGATATTTTTGGTGGGGTTCCTTGGAGGGGTGTATCGGGGGCTTCCACACAGGCCTGTCTGGTGGGGAGACTTGAGAGCTGAGACGGGGCAGAGTCTGCGTGGCTGGGGAGGGGGTGAAAGAGTCCTTGTCAGTCTCCCAAACCCCCTTTCCAGACCAATGCCTGGACTCAGAGACTCACAACCAATGCCTGGACTCAGAGAGGGGCCGATATGGCTTCCAGGGAAAACGCTATAAACCAGGAGGGGGCACCTGCCTGGGAAGAAGCGGCTGGGGCCGGTCAGAGGACAACGTGCTTCATGCTCAACACCCCAGGGAGAAGTCCTTCTTCTCCCCACAGCCCGCTTGAGCTCAGACACACTCTATAGCTCCCCACTGCCAGCTGCACCAAGCCAGGCACCCCGGGGGCCCACAATCTGGTTCCCTACTCCTACCTGGAAACGCCTCAGCCCCTAGGGTTCCAGCAGGAACTTCCATCCCTGGGTGGTCTCCAGGACCCGCTGGGCCTTCCCACCTCCACCCCTGGCACTTGGGCACCCGTCCCCTCATCCTACTACGCTCCACTGGCCCTCATGCTCCAGCCTTCCTCACCCCCAGCCCTTCCCTGAAAGTGCCATGTCCTTCGAGTCTCACTGAAGTTGCACATGCTGTTCTCTCTGCCGGAAACAACCTTTTTTTTAGACGCCCCCCAGAGGGGTCTGTCCTGACACCCGACTCCCTCCTGGCCATGCTGCCCTGACCAGCACCCAGTGCGTCCCATGCTCCAGGTCATGCTCATTGACTCGCCGCCTTGCTTAATGTCTGTCTCCCCAGCAGTCTGGGCCCGACTGCTCTGTGACCACGCACCCACAGTATGTATTTGGGGAATCACATTGAGCAATAAAAGCTGAGTAATTCCGTCTGCCCGAAAAAGGCTCCCACAAATGTTATCAGTGACTAAGAAATTCATTTCATCTGGCAACCTATTAAACACACATCGAAATGCTCTAACAGTTCGCGGAACAGTTCTGACCATTCCCATGTCTTATACGCGCCAATATTTTCTTTCCTATTCCAGCCATTTCATTCCATTCTATTACAATGTGTTCCAGTCCATCCCATCCCATCCCATCCCACCCCATGCCAAGAAAATTCTGGTTACAAGCTCCTGATTTCATAATTCATTATCGGGTTACAATAATACAGCCCAGACAGAAGGTTCTGGAATTCTCACTGCAGAGGTCACTGGAGCTTTCCTGGCCCTGCGCCCTCCACTCCAGCTTGACGTTCAACTCTTCCTGTCACTCCTGAGCCCTCTACCCTCCCTCTTCACCGGGGAGCCACAGCCAGGTTCTGTCTGCAAGGAGCCACAATGAACACGCCCCGTGCCCCAGAGCCTTCCTGGACCCCTGGGGTCTCGTCTATGCTGGCACTGGGCCCCCCTGAGAGGAAGGGCCTGCGGAAAGGGGGAAGGGTGGGGAAGGCAGGCAGGTGGCGGCCTCCGTAGTCCTTTCCATGGAAAATTCCAGAATGCCAAACCCCACACCAACGTCCTCCTGGAGGACATAGTCCTAACTGCTACTGATGACCCCTGGGACATGCACGACGTCACCGCAATGGGTGTCTATTCCTGTCTGACAGGTGACAAAACTGAGGCTCAGTGAAGGGGACTCAGCCTCTCAAAGGAACAGAAGGCAGACAGCCTCGTTCAGGGGCCCTTCCCATCCTTCCCGGAGGGGGCCCTCAAAAGCCGTGTCAGCTCTAACCTGGGCTGGTCTCAGGTCATCACAATCACTCCCAGGTCCTGGCACATGCCCACCTGGATTTTTCCCTTCTGGTCTAGCCCAAGGTCCCGGTCTTTGCCCCTCCCCCTCGTGGCTGCTCTCTGGTCCTCTGTTGAGCCTGGGCTCCAGGGCAGGCAGCGACAGGGGCCCTGTCCTGGGGCCTACATCCTCCCTGAGGGATTTTCAAAATCTGTGTGACCAGGTCCCCTGCCCCATGAAGTCCTGCTGGGAAAATCCCTTCATCAAAGAAATTCCAAGAAGGGCGGCTCCAGTGCACACAGGGGCTGGCTCATGCGTGCTGACCTCTCTGCTGCCACCCTCTTGCCACTATGCCAGCTCACCCCGGGAGGGCCGCGGGGGTGACGGCTGGGGCACGGCCGATGGGGGGATTCCTGTGGACCAGCGCTCCTGTCCAGCCCGCGCAGAGGCGGACTGAAAAACCCGCTAAAGACCCAAAGGCAACCCAGCTCAGCCTCTGGAATCCTACAGGTGGGGGTTCTGATCCCTGTTCTCCCCCAGGGCAACCTCTCCCAACCTCAGCCTCCCCACCTGTGCCAGAGGCACTCTAGAATTAGTTAGGGTGAGGAATGAGGTGCCGCAGGCAGAGTCGAGCAAATCAACATGACCCCCCTCCATGGCAACAGATGCAGCGGCCCCACCACTTGTGGACTGTGTGATGCGGGGCTCGGCCAACCTCCCTGACCAGTCTCCTCGCCCGTGCATTGGGGAGGGTGCCGGTGGACCACAGGGGCCTTAGCCGGGATCTACAAGACCGGCACGCGCCAAGGTGCTTAGTGTATGGCACAGAGTGAGGCTTAATGGAGACTAGACAGGATTCTCATTCTCCGCTGCGGGGCAGCCACCCCTGCGCCCCCGGCCCTTCTTACCCCGGCGGGATGGCGGCGCGTGCGCTCCCGGTGGTGGTGCGCTGGGGTCCCGGCCGGTTGAGGTTGTTCTGCCCGGGGGTGGGCGCGCCGCTGGGGTTGCTCGAGCTCCGCGGGGGCGCCCCGGCGGGCGGCGCAGGCTCGGCGGGGCCCACGGCGGCGGGCGCCGCCCAGAGCGCGGTGCCCGCGAAGGTGGCGCTGGGGCGCACGGCCAGCGCCCCGGGGGGCCCCCCGGGCGGCGGCGGGAGCGGCTGCGCGGGCGCGGGGGGCGCCTTGCGGCGCTGCGAGGCCAGGATGGCGTTGGAGGCGGCGCGCGTGCTGTTGACCAGCAGGCACTGCTGGCACGAGCAGGGCTGGCCCGAGTTGGCGCCCACGGGCCACGACTGCGACTTGGGGATGGAGCCGACCGTGAGCGGGTAGGCGAGGTCCAGGCGCCGGCGCAGGCGGCGCCGCCGGCGCGTCTGGCGGTTCATCTGGGACATGCTGTTGAAGTAGATGAGGTAGCAGAAGCCCAGCGACGAGAGGTCGAGCCACGGGTGCTGCTTCTCGTAGGCGTTCTGGATGGTGATGCAGATGTCCATGTCGTAGGCCGTCCACGCGCCCCCGTCACTCTCCCACTCCCACACGATGCCCTTGCCGGGCGCCGACGACGGGTCGTAGAAGTTGCGCCGCACGGGCCGCATGGTGCCTGCGGGCACAAGGGCAGAGGGTCAGCCCCGAGGGGTGCACGCGGGAGGGGGCCCCGGGGCGGGACAGGCGAGGGTCAGCGCAGGCCGGGGTGAGGGTGGGGAGGGGCTGGAGGGTCAGCCAAGGCGGGGGCGCACCGAGGTGGCCGGGAGCCCGGGCGCAGGCGAGGCAGGCGCTGCCACTGCGCAGGGGTCAGGAGGGCCCTGGGGGACGGGGGACCGTGACAGGGCAGCATGCAGTCTCCCGCCGACTGTCCGGAGGTCGCCCCGTCGCTAATTCCTGCATCAGCCCATTACCGAGGATCTTAATCGTGCACTAGTTCCACGGCGCAGCCATTCACCACTTCACCCGGGTAGTGAACCCTCAGCTCACGCCTTCAGCCACCCCTCCTCATGCACGCCAGCGTCTCCGCTCAGCTCGCCCACCAGGGCCTGCAGCCTCCACTGGGGCTTTTCGTTCATTCATTCATGCCTTTACTTCTTCTTGCTCCGCACTGACTCCTTTACTCGTGCACCCAGTCACTCCTTTCGCGACCACACTGTCTAAAGATGTGCTCCCGCCCCCGAGCCCTCCTTGACCTGCGCTCCTTCCCCGCTCTGCCTCCTCCGGCTGGCGTGTTTGATAATTCACCTGCGCCTCTTGTTGTCTGCCTGGCTCCCCCACTGGACTGTCACCGCCGCGAGGCAGGGGCTCTGTTTCATTCACTGCCACAGCCCCGGCGCCTGCACACAGTCGGTGTTCAACACATGTTTGCTCCAGCGTGAGTGGATGCAACAGACGCTGACCCATGTGGGATCGGGCTTTTTAAAACTCTTCCACGCCTCTTGCTTATCCCCCACACGGCCCGCGCCTCCGCCCACTTATTCGCTTCCTCATTCACCTGGTGGAGGCTCCTTCCTGACGGACATCTGCTGGCCGGCTGCCCTGTGGGGGGCTCCACGCTGAGCGCTCATTAAACATCAAGTTCAGAGCCATGTGGTGACCCCAGCCAGGTGGGGGTCATGCCCGTGTTGTGAAAACAAGGACACGGAGGCTCTGCTTGCCCCTGCGGCTGCGCGATCCCCCAGGTTCTAGCCGCCCCCCAACAGCAAGGCTCCAGGCAACTCCGGGTAATCAGGACAACCCATGGCCAAGGTTTCAGGACTTCTCAGAGGCTTGGCCAGCTCTGCGTGGGACGGGGTGCGGGGATTCTTTTGCTGGGTTCGCTGGGCTCCCCTGCCCATCCTCCAGGGTGGGGAGTCTTCTCCGCCCAGAGCCAGACTCGTGACTCCAGCGGTATCAGGCACCTGCCCCGGAGATCTCACGGGCGGCTCACACTCAGCTCTGCCCAAGCAAGCCTCCTCTTCCCAGCCACACCTGCCCCTGCCAGAGCCCTTCCCACCCCGGGGTGCCACCCTTCCAGATGCTCGCGTCCAGCCCTTCAGACCCAATGCCAATCTCTCGGTAAGGTATACACTCCACACCTTTCCCCTCCCCCCCGCACTGTTCTGCTGGTCTAAGCCATGGGTCCACGGCACCTCTCCCGCCGGGCCCGTTGCAGGAAACTCCTGACTGGTCTCTGCTCCCACCCCTGCCCTCAGTCTGTTCCCCGGCCAGAGGAGCCTATTCAGAGCAAGTCCCATCACATCCTGCTGCTCAGAATCCTCCCAGGGTGCCCTGCTCACCTGGAGGAAAAGCCAACATCCTCAGCCCAACTTTCCACGTCGTCTACACAGTCCCCACCACTCCCTGTGCTCAGCCAGCCTGACCTCCGGCCGCCCCTCACCACCCCAGACATCCCCGCCTCCAGGCCTTGCACGGGCAGTTTCCTCACCTGGAAGCCACCATGCCTCTCCCAGAACACAGGATGAGAATTAGGTTCTCACCGTCTCAGCCTCTCTCCCCGGTCTCTGCAATGCCACCTCTTTGGAATCTTCTCAGACCCCCCGTCTAAGGTGCCACCCTCCAGTGCCATCCTCTTCCCTGGCTTTAGTTCCCATCTTGGTGCTCGAAGCTCCCTGACATGCTAAACTAATCTGCCACTTTCTTATTCTCTGCCCCCTGCCATTGGGGCTGCCAGCCCACCGGCCCAGGAATGCGGGCCCTTCCTTCCTGCTGTGTCCCTTACTGCTTGGCCCCCTGTGCCCCACCCCCGTCACTTTGTGGCACTTTGTCCCCCCGCCCCCGCCAGGGTGCCCAGCCCAGGGATCAGCAGCAAGATGGGTAGGGACCTGCCATGGGTGGCCCCCCCAACCCTGGACTCCTCTCCCTGACCACACACCTGACTGTTCTTTACTTGGGCTCCTCTTTAGGGCTCAAGGAGTCTGTCCCCTGCCGGCTCTGTGTCACAGACCCACTGGCTGCAGGCCACCTCCGCCTGGTCAGTGCAAGACCCCGAGACAGGGAAGTCAGGGTTGCTGTTGCTGTGATGTGAGAGAGCAGAGTGGCTGGGCCCTGGGCTCCCGTCATGCTCCGTCAATCATGTGAAGACTCCCCCCGGGGTCTCCGGGGCGGCCTCATTCTGATGCCTGATTTATCATTTTAATTGAGTGTGTGCATATTGATTTTTTTCCCTGACAACAGTGTTCTTCATGGCAGCCCTGAGAGGGGACGAGGTTGAGGGAAATCTCAGATCCTGTTTCTGCTCTGCCCCGGAGCGCGGCTTTCCTCTCCCCTGGACCTCAGTTTCCCCTTCTGCAAAATGAGGGCTTGATGGTCTTCAGGTCTGATGTGCCACTGGCCTCCTGATGAAGCTAAAGCGCAGTGTTACCTGGCAGGTGCAATCCCTGGCTGGGAAGGGGTGGGGTCGGAGGACCCGTTTCATTTACCCACCCCTGCGAGCCAAGTCCTGTGCCGGGCAGGGCAGGGTCGAGTGGTCGAGTGGGAGGTGTAAAGAGGCTGAGAGAGACAACTCAGAAGCCTCACAGGTCATGGGCAAATTCTGGCTCCACACATAGCCTCAGTGTCTTCATCTGTGAAATGGGACTATTAAAACCTACCCCTGCCCCCCAGTTATTGTGGAACCAAGCAAGGTAATGTGTGTCATAGGTGCTTAGCAGAGGACTTGTCCATAGTAAGTGTTCGAGGACGGTTAGCCAAGACGATTGTTACTATTACATACGTGACCCACATGCACTCTCTCCTAGCCCTTCTTCAACTGGCAAACTCCTACTCATCCAACAAAACCCTCCATATGCCCACCTCTTCCAGGAAGGGCTTTTTCTATTCTTTGCTATGGCGGACATAGCAGCTTTTTATTGCAAATCTACCCTTGACTGTCATTACATTATTTGCTTTTGTTCTCCGTCTCCCTCATTAGTTGATGACTTTCAAGTAGACAAGGACCAGGTCAGAGTCATGTCTGTTCCCAGCACCAGGCACAGAGCCTGCAACTGAAACTGCAACCTACTTGGCACAGGCCAGGGCTCAGAGCAGGGAGGCAGAGAGGAGGGGTCAGTCTTGATGGAGCGGGCGTGGGGACTGCAGCAGGAGCCAGAGTGTGCTCGGGGTCCGGGGAGCAGGGTATAGGACTCCAAAGGTCAGTGTTGGCCAGTTTTGCAGCAAAGGACTCTGGGACCGTCTTCCAGCCAGGTCAGGGCCAGCCAGCCCAGGCATCCCTCTCTCCAGGGCTCTATTTACCAGGTATCGATTTTCCTGCCTGTTTACTGGTAGTTATTAAAGGCTGCGTCCCTGGAGTCCTTTTCAAACGAGATTGGAACCTGGAGAGCCGGAGTAATTAGGGCAGCGGCCGTCCTCCCTGCTGGGGCCTGCACCCCGCAGCGCTGCCACTGCCCGCCTGCCCGTTTGTCCACCCCTCTGGCTCACGCTGGCAGTGGACCAGGCCGAGGGGGACCAGCTGGTTCCCTGGTGACTTGCCTGAGCTGCGATCTCGAGATTTCTAAGGGCGCCACAACGGAAACACTCCCTCTCTCCAGCGGCCTTGGCCTAGATTTTCAGCCAGAACAATGGGTCTAAGATGGGGCTGGAGGTTCTTCAGCCTGGGAGATGGGAAAGAACTCAGACTGGTGCCCCGAGATACGGCTGGTCTTTCTCATCAGCCCATGCTGCCGGGTGTCCTTGGTGGGCCGCCCCCTCGCCGACTCCAGGGCACCCAGCTGCCCCGGCCACCAGTCTGCGTCCCCATGGCAGCTGGGGACCTGTGTCAAGCACATACCGTCGCCGGGTCTGTTTCTGTGTGTCTGCTTTTGTTGTCTGCCCCCACCCCGCCCGCCCGCCCTTTTAGTTGCTTAAGAAGGTTTGGTTGAAAAATTCCAATGTTGTTCCAGCTGAGTTAAGGGGATCGGCCAAATGTCAGCAGGAGGGCGGGAGGGGGCTGAAACCTGGTGTGGGGCGGCCACAGCCACTGCAGCCGGTGATGTGATGACCGGTTCAGGCCTGGGGCAGAGACGATGGGAGAGAGGGCTGGAGGCGAGGGGGCGGGAGGCACAGAGACGGTCAGAGAGGCCAAGGTCAAAATGGGAAATCTGAGGCAGATGGACGGAGAGCTCGGGCAGAGACAAAGAGCTGGAGAGACACAAAGAAACAAGACCTAGAGACCTCAAGACCGAGAAGTGAGTCTGGCAGACAGGCCTGAGCCGAGAGGAGAAAGCGGGGACACGGCAGCAGCAATAGGAGCGGAGATGCGTTTGGGGAGCACCCGCGAGCCGGGGCTGCACGCTGCACATTCCTGACACTGGCTCACTTTATCCGCGCTTGCTTTCTCCCAGGGGCACCGGGTTTATTCCCACTTTACTGATGAGGCAACTGAGACCCAGAGAAGTGAAATCTTGGGGGGCTGGGAACAGAAGGCTCCATTAGTGGAGTAAAGGAAAGGTCAGGTGGGCTGATCCTAATGGATTCAACTCAGCCAAGTGGTGATGCCGTGTTGGATGCCTCCAGTGACGGGGAACTCACTACCCTCTGTTGCTTCACCGCGAGTTTTCCACCCCGAGAAGGTGGTATTGACCTGACCTCTCCTTCTCCCTTTGGCCTGGTGGTGAGTTGTGTGGGTGTCTCAGCCCC